TACACTACTTTATACTGCATATAATATTTATGACATTGTACCAATTAATTATTTAGTAAGCTAATTATTTATTATTTTTTAATATTATAGAATTAATTTAAAAGTGCATCATAATATTATTGTGATATGAGAAACCCTGTTCTTAATGGTAACATCTGACTATGAAAATAGACTGTAACCCTTGTAGTATTTTAATCTTATTTTGTTATTAAATCAAAAATCAATACCAATTTGTGAGTTAGTCGTGATCATTCGTGGATTGCACTCAATTAGCAAACAAAACTTTAGGACTTTAAATACTTATCACAAAGATTTAAATTCCGAAATCATTTTATAGAAAGTAGTTTTAAATACTTTGAAAACAGGGCTGGAATTGGACTCAAAAGCTAAATGAATGCCAATATATATAGAAATTGATTTTACTTATAATTCTTGATCACAACTTTGCAGTAAGTTTACAAAATTAATTAATCTGCTCATTTCAATTAATCCCTTAAGTAACTGAATATTCTAAATATTTTTCATTAATGAATGAACTTGCACATCCAATCATGCTATTTGTCGTAATATATGCCATATTTTATATTTTCACCGCAAAGTAACGGTAATGAAGTCCAGACGTGTTTAATTTGGTTGTATTCAATGTTTAGTCATTTACTTTACAAATGTGTTTATAGTATAAACTTTATACTAAGCCTTGTCATTTGATAGCAAAAACACATTTATGTGTAAAATAAAAAAATACAGTTTAAAGTTGGCCAGATATCGCATACATTATAGCAATTTATATGTTGACAATTATTTTCTGATATTTATAATCATAAAATTTGCGTATTTATCACTTGTTATCATTTGTTATCACTTTGTTTATTATAATTAATTTATTGATTGTATAATATGCTTATTAATTATAATGTAAATCAAAAACATATTCATTAAATATAACATTAATTTATAAATTTATTTTATTTAATTTGATTAGATTTTTACTATTTATCGAAAATTATTTTTATTATCAAATAAATAATTCAACAATGCAAGTGGTTGTCCACAAAGTAATTTACATTTTAAATAAAGTACAGTATACGGTAGATAGAAAAAACACACAAACATGAAACAATAAAAGTTACATAGAGCATAATATACAAATTAATTTTGGTACCAAAATTATAAAAACTTTATAATTTCAAAACAAATGATCTGGTTAACTAAAATAAGATTTCCTAAATAATCATTATTTCAAACATTATGATCAAACAAACAGATGGATATTCCCGGTGTTTATGACGGGTTTGCGAAACAATGGTCTCAATGTAGACGACCTCTTCCAGTGCTCCCGACACGACGAGTCACAACCGATTGTCCAGGAGCTGCAAAAGTAGGTATGGGCGCATGGAGTCTAGTAAATCAGTCATTCATATAGAGCCGGGATGGGAGGGAGGGCTGATTAGAGATATACTAAATTGTGACCACATATCAGGCACTGGAATAATGAACGTCAAAAAAAGTCATCCAAATTCTGGAGCGCATTAGTTATGNAAAAACATACTCCCCCGGCGGCCATGCATGCTTGCTTGAAGGTGCGATTTTCGACCTTGTTAAAATGGTCTATCACTATGCCTAGTAGCAGGGGCTGACATATACGACAAACGCATTCCTATCAACAAAAGGTTTTAACATTTTATTTAATGAAATTGTTCATGTTGAGCATCCAGGTGGGTTTTAATTATCTCAAATTATACGCTTACCCCCAATATTAATAAAGTGAGTGGCGGTATATAGTACTTCCCGAATGCCATAACCAATGCCCTCCAGAATTTCGATGACTTTTTTTGACGTTCATTATTCCAGTGCCTGATATGAAGTCACAATTTAGTATACCTCTAATCAGCCCTCCCTCCCATCCCGGCTCTATATGAATGACTCATTTACTAGACTCCATGAGCCCATACCTACTTTTGCAGCTCCTGGACAATCGGTTGTGACTCGTCGTGTCGGGAGCACCGGAAGAGGTCGTCTACATTGAGACCATTGTTTCGCCAACCCGTCATAAACACCGGGAATATCCATCTGTTTGGTCATAATGTTTGAAATAATGATTATTTAGGAAATCTTATTTTAGTTAATCAGATAATTTGTTTTCAAATTATAAAGTTTTTATAATGCTAAGAATCATTTTGGTACCAAAATTAATTTGTATATTATGCTCTATGTAACTTTTATTGTTTCATGTTTGTGTGTTTTGTGTATCTACCGTATACTGTACTTTATTTAAAATGTAAATTACCGGCGGCCATGCATGCTTGCTTGAAGGTGCGATTTTCGACCTTGTTAAAATGGTCTATCACTATGCCTAGTAGCAGGGGCTGACATATACGACAAACGCATTCCTATCAACAAAAGGTTTTAACATAAATCATTTTGGTACCAAAATTAATTTGTATATTATGCTCTATGTAACTTTTATTGTTTCATGTTTGTGTGTTTTGTGTATCTACCGTATACTGTACTTTATTTAAAATGTAAATTACTTTGTGGACAACCACTTGCATTGTTGAATTATTTATTTTATAATAAAAATAATTTTATATTATCTACACCATTTAATCTACTATATTAATCTACACGCTATTATAAAGTATGCGATATCTGGCCAACTTTAAACTGTATTTTTTTATTTTACAACATAAATGTGTTTTTGATATCAAATGACAGGGTTTAGTATAAACACATGTAAATGTTTAAACATTGAATACAACCAAATTAAACACGCCTGGACTTCATTACCGTTACTTTGCGGTGAAAATATAAAATATGGCATATATTACGACAAATAGCATGATTGGATGTGCAAGTTCATTCATTAATGAAAAATATTTAGAATATTCATTTACTTAAGGGATTAATTGAAATGAGCAGATTAATTAATTTTGTGAACTACAAAGTTGTGATTATGAATTATAAGTAAAATCAATTTCTATATTAGGATTCATTCATAGCCCTGATTTCTAAGTATTTAAAACTAGTTTCTATAAAATGATTTCGGAATTTAAATCTTTGTGATAAGTATTTAAAGTCCTAAAGTTTTGTTTGCTAATTGAGTTCAATCCACGAGTGATCACAACTAACTCACAAATTGGTATTGATTTTTGAGTTAATAACAAAATAAAATTAAAATACTATAAGATTTAAAGTCTATTTTCAGTCAGATGTACCATTAAGAACAGGGTTTCTCATATATGTACAGTATATGTATAATCAATAATATATTAAATAATAAAAATATAATATGGTATCACAATAATATTATGATGCACTTTTAAATTAATTCTATAATATTAAAAAATAATAAATAATTAGCTTACTAAATAATTAATTGGTACAATGTCATAAATATTATATGCAGTATAAAGTAGTGTACATATGTTAATGACAATATAATCACAAAATCAATAATAACTATATTAAATTATAAATAATAAATTTTTAATAAAAATGGTGACAAACATATACTCGTACTAATTATGATGACCTACAAGTTATTATTTCATAATAAATAGGTGATAATTCTAAATATATTCTATAATGTGAGATAACGTTGTTCACAATTGTAAAAATTACTTCTGAAAAATTTGTTCACTGAATATTTTAATAAGTTAAAATTTCAATTAAATAATAACTTGAATTCCAACATTAATTATTTGCCAAAAATGACTTTCATTGAATTACTGATATGTATATCAAATGTATTGAGTCTATGGCACGGAATGACATTTATTGGTATAATTGTAGATCTATTTCATTTTATTGGTCTATATTCACAAAATGTTCAAATTTACATTAAATTAAGATTATATATTAATCAAATTTATAAAAACTTAATAATATTTATTCGTAAAAATATTTCAATCAAATCAAACATAAAACCTAAAGTAT